TCCATGAATCCAAGCCCGGATCCATGGTCCCTTCAAAACCCCCGAGCTGCCTCGCACATCGCGGGGTCCATGAGGGAAAGGGACTGGCAGGCAGTCTCTCTGCGATTGGGACACTCCGTTTCCAGCCCATTCCCAAAACGGGATGATGGGCTGCTCCTCCCAGTGCTACCATCAAAGCATCTACTTTTCGCGCTACAGAGCATGTGTGGTGGAAGAAAAGTGAGACGAGCCAACTCAAATGACTGGAATCGAATACTGTAAACGAAAGAACACTGCATCAAGCAGGCACTGTGGTTTGAAGGCTGTCTCGTCTGGACTGTCTCAGTCATGTGGCCATGAATCCAAAAGCTGTACCAGGCCTGAGAATTCGAAACATCTAAAACCCAATACGCAGCACCATAAAACTCTGCACCAAATGGGAAGCACCGGCATGTCTTGCCTGCATCGTCTGTTGCTCATCGAGCAGAGGGACGAAGAAACTCTCCCAGAAGCCCCATTCGCCTGAGGCTGCGGCGAACGGGGGAGTTGGGCGTTCGCTTCATGGGTTCCACGATCTGGGATCTTGCGTTTAAGATGTTTGAGGCTTGTACGATGAGATTTTAGGCTGATGGTCTTAGATTTGGGGTCCTGAGGTCTAGGTGCGGCCTGGGAATGAAGCTTCACGGTTTCGGCTCGAGGCCGGGTTTAAGGCCTGCGCTTGTAGACGATCACCGGGCCAACATGCCGAACATTGACTTCATTGGTGTGAAGCACCGGGTAAAATCAGTTCGAAATGCAGCTTTGCATAGCTTCGGTCATGTTATACTTCACTCATCCTCACTACATACTGTGTGCGCGTGTACATATACTGACATATACATATCAGTGTACGCTCGTACATACATACATACATACATACATGCAGACATACATACATGCAGACATACATACATACATACATACAGACATACATACATACACACACATACGTACATCCAGTATACATACAAGCATGTACACTTACACATGCATCATAATATCGTCTGCAAGCCCGCCGCCTTCATTGAGCCAGCAAACGTCCCGAGGCGCGAACCGTTGAACTGCTTTGAGAGCGGCGTATCACTGGAGACCTGCCGCATCCTGAGATCGGAAGACCCGCATGTCTCTGGCTCCTAGCATGAAGGGTTCGACCTTGCCCTTTTTGGGCTTCAGTTTGGGCTCAACCAATGGTTTACCCCGAACCCGAGGCCATAGCCAAGCCGACCTCTGAACACCGCTCATCCTGCTTCGACCATCATCTCCTACAAGCTCAAAAGCAGAAGGCAAAAGCTGACGCTTCTGTAACGCCCTGAGGCTGGAGCTTCATCACGAAGAACATGTCTGAGCCTCGAGGCTTGCACGGTCTAAACAATTCAGTGGAGGATCTAAGCATACGGTTTTGGGCTTCTCAAAACTTGTTCCGTTCGGTCTCCTTGCTGGCTTAGGATGCAGGACCGCGGTTGGGTGGCGCCAACGTTGGCCAACAGCGAAGCTGAGCCTAGTACGATTCAGAGGGTGCTCCCGTAAACATGCAGACGGCCAGTCAATAGCACAGCCAACGACGAGACTTTGAACATCAACTCAAATCCCTGGAAGAACCTGGCACGTTGTGATCAATCAAACCTGAGAATCTATTGCACGCCCCCTGGTCCCGGGGAAAAGTAAAACATATATATATATATATATGTATATATATATATATATACATATACTAGACGGGGATACAAAAAATCCCAAGCCGGTTGAAGCCTTACACCTGGAAACCGAAATCTCATGTGACTCATGAAACCCGCAATACGACCCTCAGGCCTGTCTTGGGTTCCTTCATCGCGTCCTCGTCCCACCTCAGCGTCAGCTCCGGCAGCATACGAGGACGCATCCCACAAAAAACACAGACTGTGTATATGGGGATCCAGAACCGAAGCAAAAGGCAGAAAACCTGCTGCATCTGGGTTCAAGGTTCGGGGCTGCACCGTATCCGATGAGAGCTTCGACCCTCCTCTCTAAGACCCAGTCCGGGCACCCAATGTTTAGTGCGCTCGACACTTCATGAACGGGTTTCAGGATTCAGAAAAGGACGAACTTTGGAATTATTCCCTGTAGCAACAAAAAACCTGTTGCACTCGGCATTCCTAAAAGTTGACCTTTCACCCTAAGCAGAGCCCCAAAGCCGAAACATGAACGCCAAAAGTCAGGCCCTTAACCCCCGAAGCCCGCAACTCCTGAACCCTTGCAGCTATGATTTTCGACAGGTCCGCGCCAGCCTTGCGGTGCATCGAAGCTCTGACAAGTAAGGGACATTACGGGACAATCTAGGGCTTCGGAGCTTTAGACTTTAGGCTTGGAGGTTAGGGGGCTGAGAATCATGACGAGGCTTCTGTTGTTGCAAGAGTGCATGTTCTGTTGGGTGTCCAACACGGGACCCTAACCAGGCACGTCATCGGTTCTATGTGACACTCGTTGCGCATGACGTGTACATATGTATATATATATATATAGATATATATATATACATACATACATATGTATATATATATATATATAGGACCGACTCAATGCATGTGTATAGGGTGCGTGAAGCTGCGGTGTCTAAAACCTCAAGTGACTCTTGGACTCCAGAGACATCATGCTCGGAAGGCCAATGAAGCGGCGCCCACGAAAACGAAACATTTGAGCGCCTTCGGCGCGGCGAGAGCCTTTAAGGCAGTCTTAAAACGAGTTGAGAACGCAAGCATCCCTTTGAGCCAGGGGGCTTCACAGGGTGTGTCTCTGAAGCTAGATTAGAGAGTTTGGCAGACTCAACCGTACCGGAAGCTAGTAGCTTACAACCTCCGAAAGTGCCCTAAGTCCATCGTCCCGTCTTCCCGAGAATCTCGGATGGCACAGAGGGGGATGCCAAACTCCTAGCCGTCGCGCTGTAGTCAGGAGGCTCTCGTCTCGAGAACCCCCCGAGGCTTCGGCTGCTACGCGTGGTGGCTTTTTTGGCTTTCTTTTGGGGTTTGGCGATTGCGGTTTAGGCGAAGGTTCACAGGTCGGGTGGGCGAATCTGGGGTTTCAGCTTGTTGGCTCGTTCTCTCTGAAAACCTGGTGTTTGGCCGACCGAAATGCATCAGGATTCGGAGTCGTCAGACAGAAGCCTTGGCGGGGGAATGATGTAGGTTTGGGGGTCACTTGCGGTCCCGTGGTGCGTGGCTCTTTTGAGAAGGGGGACCTTCTGGCTGAGGATATATGGGTTTGGGGCTTGCAGAAGGCGGGTCTAGGCTCGGCCTTCTCTTTCTGGGCGATTCACAGGCACGACCAATGCATTGGAATCTAGTATGAATCGTGCTTTGCTGAGGACGCGGACAGGTCGGCATCATCCGGAGGGTCGCCAAATCCGGACAATAATCGTCACGGCACAACCATTCTTCTGGGGAGCGTGGCGACTCCCGGAAGTCGTGCGCTGTGTAAAACATACTATACAACTGACTGGAGCAGAGAACCTCACAGAAACTTCACAACATGATGCCATTCACCAAACCTCGGTCCATCCTACAATCAATCCACAAAAAGCTACTAGAAACCACCTGCACGAAAATACCTTCACAACGCTTCCGGGTAAGAACAGATCAAGAGTCCCTGACTGCTGAGGCTTCGTGCCTGGCAGGGCTCTGGGATTTGAGCAGTTAGGCTTCAGGGTGGCCTCCGGGTCTGCATTAAGATAATTTCGACTTAAGGCGGTTCGGTGGCTTAGGAATCAGCGTTTCGCCAAAGCGCTGCTTCACCACCCAGGCCGAGAAGATTGCCAGGCCAATACAAGCCACGGTGAAGAAACCTGGTGAAAGGATTGGCCCCGCGCCGGCACTTGCAGCACTCCAAGTCCGGAGAGGCCCATAGACTATATACGCCCAGGGTGAAGAGTTCAGGGGACATGAGAACGCAGTGAGCTCCACCGCGGGTTTAAGCTGTCCCAGCAATCGTAAGTTTTGCCGCTGGGCCGGAAGGCAACGAAGCGTGCTACATTGTAACTATACAAGCTGAAAAGTCCGCAAGTTTGAACAAACGCCCCAACCTAAAGACAGATCCTCATACGCCGCTCAGATGGAGAGCCCTCACCTAGCTCTCCCTGTCAAACAAATTTACCAACTCATGTCGAGCCAACCAAACTCCCAGCACCAAGAAACCATAGAGCAAGATCTGGTTTAGCACGCTGTTCGACGCGCGCAGATACCACTCCTGGTCCACAGCTGCTCCGGTGTTCAGGGTGCAGGAGTTAAGGTAGGTTCCTGGGGCAAGGGCGAAGCGGGCAAGGGCAAAGGGCTATACTTTGAGTGGAGTCATATGAACATGACACGTGCGCATCAACTAATTTAGGACGTAGGACTTAGAACAACAAACGCGGACTTGAACATTTGACATGATGGGCTCTGCGAGACGTGCAGAAGCGGCTCTCCGGGTTTCCAGGCCTTTGACCTCAAAACCCAAAACCTTGACCGGTGTGGAGACTCAACCCAAATCCAACTCCCACGTACTTGCATCTTGAGCCACCTGCGACATCGCCCCTTCAAAAACCGAATCCGAAGCTCTCACAAAACAAAATGCTACTTGAGCCGAGATGCTACCACGCCAAGGCTTCCCACGAAGAAAAACCAAGCAATGAACCTTCAACGGGACTTGGATTGCCTCGAGTTTTGGGCTCATCTCAAAGGTTTCGAACCCAAGCCCGAACTCCGGAGGTTTAGGTCGGGTTCGAGCTCTTAAATGACCCTATTCGAGCTTGGCTAGAGTGCTTCCTCTTCAGGTCGTGTTCCAGAATCTACGAGCCAAGACAATGGTATCATAGTTGAATGAGGCATAGTGGATTGTAGTCAAGCGAGTATTGCTTGCTGCTGAGGTGCATGTGATTAGATCGGGACTTAAATGGGGGTGTGATCTAGTTGCACAGTTCCCGTTAAGGTAATCATTGTCTGGACAACGTTTATGACGCTGCAGGGACGGTCATGTCAATGTAGCACATCAGCCCCAAACCAAATGCTCGAGATTCCAGGGGGCTGGTTGTAGAGATCGTCGTGGAAGAAGGGCACGACGCCAGAAGCATCGGGAATGCTCGTGGTCTCATCCTTTCAGATTTTGGCAGGAGGCGGGTGTTTTCAGGGATGGTGCGTATCTTCGAGCTCGGCCTCGGAGTTTAATCCCTTTCCTTAATTTTTAACAGGGATCGCCCCCACAAAAAATTCTGAAAGCGTGTCTAGTGCGTATTTGTGCCACTTTTGAAGGATCTGGCTCCTGCTCCTGCCACGTCTCTTGCGCTTGCTCCTGCGCTTGCTCTTGCTCCTGCTTTTGCTCTTGCTGCTGCTTTTGCTGCTGCTCTTGCTCCTGCTCTTACTCCTGCTCTTGCTTTTGCTCTCGCTCCTGCACTTGCTCTTACTCCTGTTCTTGCTCTTGCTCTTGGTCCGGCTGTTGCTATTGCTCCTGCTCCTGTTCTTGCTCGTGCTGTTGTCTTGCTCCTGCTCTTGCCCCTGAGCCCCGATGATGCCACGTGTTTTCGTAGGAGGGTGTTGAATAAATGGGGAAGGGACTCTTTGCGGATGAGGATTTAGGGCTTTTAGGGTCGAGGATAAGGTCTAGACTCTAGACTTGTCGGATCGCGGTGTAGGGCCTAGAGTTTAGATGCTTCCATGGAGCCATGGGCACTTCAAGAATTTGCTTTTCAAGCATGAAAGCCCTCGATAGTAGAGACTGCGAGCAACACGTGCCGAAGCCCTAAACCCGAAACATGTCAACTCCTTCCCGGGCTCGGCTGTGAGATTTGGGACAGTGGCCACGGAGCCCGCAAATCATCTAAAGATTAGGGCAACGTACCGCGGCTTTAGTTAAGTCCTTCAACTTCGGGAAGCCTCGAGGCTAGAACCTGGACCGCCAGCACTGAACAGTTCGTCCAAGCTTAAGACGAATCGGTGTCCAAAATTCTGGTGTCGGCTTTGCATGCGGCTTGTGCGTGTCTTGACTTCTTGTAGGCCATACATTCGGAACATAAAACCCCGAAGGTTCAACCACCGCTTCTCAACTTCCAAACCCTTGAAGGAACTGTCCTGCGGCATGCTGAGGCTCAACCGGACACCCAAGGTGAGCATCACTCGATACCTTGCTCCTACCGGCTTTAGAAATCAACCCTAAAGATGAAAGGGATCCGGGTCTGCGTTTTCAGGGAGACAGGATGAAATGGATTTGGGATTTGGGTTTTGGAGGCCTCAAGGTTGAGTGCGTAGCTGAAGCCCGAACCCCGAATCACTTGCTGACTGCCTGTGGCTTGAGGTTACAAGAAGTTTCGGGTTCTTGCTGGTTCAGGGACGCATGCGCCCAGACGACACTGCAGGTTTCGGGAGCTGCCCATCTTGATGCAAGTTCTCAACTCTCTCTACCTCAGTGCACAGCTTCACTTGCTAGTGTTCAGGTTTTCCGAGACGCTGCTTTGACGAGACAAAACCTCCATGTCTTGCTGTGAACTGTCAAGACCTCAAGGATTACATCAGGCTCCATAGGGGCCCACTGAAGCCCGGATCAAAAACCTCCTGCCTCTCTTGCACCTTTAGGGTTTGGCCTCAAGCATCAGCACCATCATACGGGGGGCTGCTCCAGATGAGGGTCTCTTTTGAGGTCTCCCTTTTTTGTGTAACCCCAGAGCGCAATTAACTGATAAAGCCATCGTGTAGTAACCCATTTGCATAGGTAAGTGGTAAGTGGCTTAATTACAGGCGGGCGAAGCTTAAATCAAAACCACCATCCTCACACGATAAGAGCCCGTGAAGTCGACAGAGCCAACGATGCCAGCAGCAAATCGCTGAACGCCCGCAAGGCTCTGAGCCGGGGCAGTGAAGCCTAGCCGAAACCTTGTACAACGCACCCTACGCAATACCTCAAAACCACAATGTTTCTATTTACACTCTTTCTTGATTCCAGCCACACGAAGGAAGCGATGCCCATGGAAAAGGAACGAATGGCCCATCGTCGATGCCTCAAGGAGGTGGTTGTCGATGGTCACCGGGTTTTGGCCCACATCGTATGTCCACAGTTGAAAGAGAAGGCAAACAACACATAAACATGCGTGAGCGCTCGAAACGCCACTCCATGACCTAGGCACCCACTCTATATAGTAAACACTCCAATGCCTAAACCGTAGATCCTAAAGTCTCAGGCCATGATCTCTAAACCCCACGAACTACTTCACGATGACTATCGGGCTCGGTCGGGTCGAAGTTGGAGACGTCTGGGTTTTTGCACAAGGAGTTTGCGGTCAATCCATGTCCCAAAAGATGGCCTTGCTATGCCTTGCTTCACTGACTGGGGCGTCGATGCGGTACCCAAACATGATGAAGCTCAGTATATGCGGGCCCCTGGTTTCAGGGGATCCAAGGCACATACGTTAGCTTATTAAGTTTATGTTGTTGGCTCGCATACCTGTCGAGAAGTCATCATCCCGGACCTATTCGTTGTGTAGGTCCCTGACGACAAAAGCAGCTGGGAACCTGAATGATACGGCCTTGACAACGGGTCTACGTGGGTCCCTCCCACTATTCGCACCACAAGGCCAATGTTCAAGCCCCACACATTCCGAATTCCACTGCGCGAAAGGCTGCGCAGCGATGTCTTTCTGCCGTGCCGTCCGGTATGCCAGCCTCAGCCATGGCACATAGGAAACATTTCAGAGTTCTCAGTCTTGGTGTTTTCGGATTGTAGGCTTCGTGTGAAAAGTGTCTGGTTTTGGGGTCAAACTAAATGCTCAGGGGCCCATTATTCCATAGTGACGCCGAAGTCCTCGATGCACGCTGGACACCGCGCCCTGAAACTCAAGCCCAGCCCTGAACCGGAAAGTCTGTCCAGGTCAGTCCGTCGGTACGTGGAGAGATGCTTGCCAGGTTTGAGGGCATAGAGTTTGCCTGGATCTGAAGGTGCCAACACCATAATATTTTCGCTTATGACACGGCCCTCACGAAGAAGGTCTGTTGTAGTGCCGTTGAAGCTGCGGTGCTTCGATTTCTGTGAATATTTCTGTCAGCAAAGTCAAATTTCAAGCGGAGCTTCCGGAGGTGCCATTGACATGAAACCCTAAACCATTAACGCCATGCTGACTGCCAACCATTTGGGGATCAGGATACAGGTCCGAGGCCGTGTGTCATAGGGCAAGTTGCAGCAGCATTGCCCAATGTACAAAATCGCGACTAGGCTGCTGACTCAGCGATATGAGCGAGAATGCCTGCTTGAAGAGAATCAGCATTTCTCATGTTCAAGTCTGCAGTGTCTGAAACGGCCTCGGTAGGCTTTCAACCCCTACCCAGCACCTACCCTCATGTTGTGGGTATTTCGGTACAGAGTATTGCAAGTTAACTCCAAACCCGATTTCAAAATCTCGACCCCATAGTCAAAACGCTGCAAAGTTGCAGAAACAATCGCGAATACCGGAACAATCGGACCTTCTGACTCTGCCAGTCTTGATTTAAACGAACCCAGTGCTCAAGGCACAGCTTAGCCTAGAGAGTTTCGGCCCGACGGTTGTTTTTAGCACACAGCAGTCAGGAGGCAATGCAAAGGTCACTACGCAGCATCCGTAGGCTGTGAAGGCAATGCTCCTTGGCAGGGAGCCAGACAGGTGCGTGAGAAGGCCACATCCGCTTGTTCAGGTCTCGAGTTTCGTGCTGAGGCTACGGCTACGAATGGTTGAGCTTAGTAACTGCATATGGAGTCGGATGGGTGCAGCTAAAGGTTCCAGAGAGTGGACCAGTTTGTCGACTTGTTGCTGCGGAATCTATCAATAGACTGATTGTGGTACTCCGAGACTGTGCTGTTCCAATTCTCGACATGCACTGCATTGCTTTCAGGAATGAGGAGCCAGTGCCAGCCAGGGGATACTGTGGACATAGTTCAGGGTGACAGACTAGCATGAAGCCAGTCTTTTGCACACCACATGCACCCCAGTACAGCGAACCAAAGACTCCGCCTCTCCCAGAAAACCTGGAAGCCCACAGCCAGGAAGCAACAATGGCATAGGTGGAACATGTAGAATTATGATTTATCCCTTCTGGGTGGTGCCGTCTGCACTTCCATCTAGCTCAAATTATGAATGCACCATGATGATCCATGATGTGGATACAAGAAGTTGTGGCAGCTGCGCAATAATGTCTCACGCATACCTATCTATATTTACGGTCTGTTCGTGTTCAGGCCTGGAGTTGCTTTGAAGGCGAAGTAGCCCGGAATAGAACCCCTTCCTCTTAACATTAACTGCGAAGACCCCGCACGACTGCTCCTGTACCTGTAATTTCCATGCAGCCCGGAAACATTGTCCAGCCACCTGCCAGTATCCGCCTCAGATGATCTTCAGTCAGAAGGCCTGACGCGACGAACCGGGCCTCTTCCACCCGGGATGCTCGGCGCCGCTCACACGGCACCAAACTGCGGTCTCACACACCGAAAGCTCATTTGTCGCATGCATCGCTCCGAATAGTGACCGGAATGGAGACTCATACCAAGCGATCAAAGACAAGGGTCAGCAAAAGGTGATTGCATGCAGTCGTTCTCACCACTTTCTATGCGGTCATAAACCTCCGAAGAGTCACAAGAACCGGAGCGATCAGTGGTCGAAAGCTCGTCTATTCCTACAGAAGCCGGTAGAGAATCTAAGCAGTGGTTTGGCGCTTCGGTCGTTGCGTTTTGACGTTGTGACCTTTCGTTGGGTCGAACAGCTCCGCATACCGACAAGTTGGCTTCGATCATCAAGAGAAGTGGCGCCTGAAAGCAAGGCGAGTCGCTGTTGGACGATGAACCCGAAGCCGCCAATGCAGGTTAAAACCGAGCAAATGACCTGGTCGGTGAACAGGGGTTTCGGGTCTTGGGGCTGACAGCTTACGGCTTGGAGGGCTAGTGTTCAGAACTTGGCACGAAAAGGGTAGGAGTCCAGGTCCGGGTTTGGGCTCAGGCTGAAATGGTTTGGGATTCAAGGTAATGGCTTGTGGGCTGAGAGTCGAAGCATAGGGCCTCATGGTCTCGAATCATTGAAGGCAATATATGTGCAAAATGAGCCGGGAACGCAGAAACGCTGGCAAGCACAAGTAAGGCTGCGGGATTCCAGACATGAGATACAAAATCGCTAGCCGCTAGCAAAACATAAACTTCGTGCTGTCAGCGAATAAGCAGTTAAGGCTGAGGACGGGGCCGTTAAAGGCTGGGGCTACCGAACAGGCCAAGTTGTAAAGTCCGTGGGTCGCTTTCCATGTTTCAATCTAGGGGTTGTGACCACGGTCAGGCCAAAAACAAGAATCAAAACAAAGGACAGGTAACACCTGGCTTCTGCAAGGCTGACAGCAGGAGGTAGCCGGAAGCTATGCAGCTACACGCAGACTCTGGACTTGTAAACCCATCTAACGCACGCTGGTCATTGAGGAGTTTTGCCTTGCAGTGATTTCGAGAGCGTGAGGCAACCCCCACGGTTTTCAAGCAAAGCAGCTGACATGCAAACATGTGTCATAAATTCTCCCAACGATGCGGTGGCTCGACAGCCACTCCGGACGCTTGGATACCTGCAGTGGGTCCAGCTCGTGTGCTCAGATCCATCTAAGGGGCTTGAAGCGAGGCCTTGGTGTTAAAGCGTTGTGGGTTTCAGGAATTCAGTGCAAGCTACGTTTCGGGGCGAGTGGCTTCTGGTTGTGACTAGTTGTGAGAGCCTTGGGTTTGTGCTTCTCGGGTTTGGAGGTTTGGCAAGTTATGTTGTAGTAGCGAGCAGCGAGAGCTTCCTGCCCACACCTTCCGAAATTTCCAGAAAATCTGAGAGCTGGAGCACCAAAGCCATAGACCCTGAAACTCCATCTTTCCAGATACACGAAAGCTCCGAAAGTGTACGGTCGGAAATAACTTGGGCAATTAGTTGATTAGACAGATTTGGGTCTCTATGGGGAGCCAAGAAATGCTGAGCATTGTCTTTGGAGCTTGAAAAGACATGAGGATGACGAGGGGATCTAGACCCGCAAACCCGAACACCCTCAGTCATCAGCTTTTACGATTCAGGCTGATCCGTCTTTCATGTGCCACCGAAGGCTGGCATCGACAAGGAAGTCTCCAATGTTAGGGTTCAGGGCTCAGTTGAAGGCTGCTGGGTTTGAAGAGCTTCTGCCGTCGAGTCTGCCCCGCAACTCTCTGTCGTCACCCCTTCAGCCAAGTTTGCGGGCAGCACTTGCCAAATGCCGGCCAAACTGATCACCGACCCGCAAACCTGGGCCCACGGATTGTTGATCTCCGTCTCGGGTTTTGCCCCCCTCACATAAGGGTCTCATAAAGGTGGCCTCGGCTGAAGTCATAAAGTCCTGTAATTGAGATCCAAAGCCCCGAAAGCCCCAATCCCTCCGCCCCTGAAGCTCTCAACCCGGAGACCCAAGCCCGAAACCTGAATGCTGGTTGGATACAAAGCTTCACGGCGAAACAAAACGTTGACATACAATTACCGGTGAGGGCTGGTTTTGAGGACACACCACTAATGGGATAAGACAGGCTTCGGATGACCCACTGATTCCCATTGTGCCGTTCTCGTTATCAAAGCACTGGCGATTTAGATCCAACTGTTGATATCTGGCGTTCGGACATGTCACGCATTTGAGCCACGATTGCAGAATAGTCCTCACTCAAACTCACACAGACAACGGATACAGGTGGGGACAGAGAATATGTACGTAGTATGTACGCATGCTTACACGCATCGAGGGACGAATGAGGTAAGTAGGCAGGTAGGAAGATAGGTAAGGTATGCTTGCTTCATGCGTGTACATGTATGCATATATTTATGCTTATGCATGCAAGCATACATGATACATACATGCGTACACACAGGCATGCCATGCCGTGCCGTACCATACTACTGCGCCGTACCAGTCACTCATGTCTCCGTCACACGGACTTCGTTTACCTTCCCTGAGCTCTGCAGCCGAAATTGGACCACCTTTCAACAACCATCTCAAGTATGATTTCCAAAACGTAATTCCAAAGCTGTGCTGGGCCGGACTTTGTGGTATGGAGGGTTGGGCTCTTTTTGCTTGAGGGGTTCATTATCTGGTTCGGACACCGGGAGTTTGGCTTTGGAGGTTAGTGTTTTCGCACGGGTAGCTGTGGTCAGGTGTCCACACACTGCGAATCCCGGAATGCCCAACCCCAGAGGATCCCCTAAATGTCCTTCGGAGTGCCCCAACCTCGCAAGTTCCTGATCTCTACATATCTCTACTGTAGGGTGGGGATGTTCAAAGTAAAGCAAGTCGAGCGTGTGCATGCGGAACGGACTGGCTTCCCATGCGTGGTTTTTTGAAGTTGCCGCACCATTTGTGATACGCGCACACGGAAAGAACGACAAATAGACGCGCCTACATTCCACGGCTGATCACTTGCAATAGATGCTCAGTGAAAGGTCTCGACAAAACTTTCTCTGCGCGAACGACACTTCGTGGCTCAGGGTATCCGACGCACCTCCGGGCTGAGGATCCGGCACTCAACGCTTGATTGTGTTGCATGCTGGTGGTTGAAGGATGTGGTGTAAGGGTGGCGCTTACAGCAATGCTTTCGGCTCAGGTTCCGGGTCTAGGTCGAGGATTACGGTCAAATTCGAGGCGAGACAGTGGTCTGACAGCCTTATTGGCCATGTTCAAGGTCTTGTACGCGGCCTCCTCCATGCAGACCTAACAAACTTGGTTCTACACCGATGGTACTTGCTCCTCGAGGCACTCTGCAGCACTACCAGCTGCCAATCGGGACAGGTAGCAAAGTGGAGTCCCATGCACACCACGCGCATGGTTGTCGTGCCCAGGTTTGGAAGCAGAATATTCCACTTCTCCTTAGTTTGTGGCATCTGCAAGGGAACCCAGAATCCAAGACCTGCCAACTGCTACAAGCCACACTACTTTCCTCATGAACATGAACGAACTACTTCACAGAGAACTGACTCCGAGAGATTCGACTTTGCTTTGTGAGTCCAAGCTCCGCTGGGTCGTCAAGCCCTTCGACGAAGTACATGGCCCAGACCTGAGGCAGTGTTAGGTTGCTCCAGATCCTGGTCACCACAAATCTTAAACCGTGCTTGCCGTGGGGCTTAGAGGCTTGAGAGTCTTGGAAGGAACAGCTGCAACTTCGGGGATCAGTGCTAAAGAGGGCCGACAAAGGTGTTCACATTCTGGAGGGCATGGGGTTTACGGTTGGTTTACGGATGTTTGGGGTTGATGGGGACTGACTGACCAGTCTAAGCGCACGAGAACAGATGCCCTAAACACTCCAGCTATCCGACTGCTGAACCGCGCGGCCGACATCACCCAGGCGGTGGCCGGCACTAAGTAGATCCCAGCCATGATCATCCAGGGTGTCTGGTGGCCATCACTCAGCTCCTTTCATGTTAAAAGAATGAAGATGAAGTTATCACATTTCAAGACAAGACATCGCGTTCCTCCTTGTGGCAATTTAAGCTACATTCCTCGACAAAGCGCTACTTAGCGGTTCGGATCCAAGGGCTGAGGCTTAACACGGGAGAACCAGAATTTGCAGCGCTCCTTGCAGCACGCTCCGTATAGCTTCGACGTATTTTGCTATAGTGGAACATACTGCAGAACCTTCTTCCTGAGGTACTTATTGCTTTCTCGCATTTCGACGATGATCAACTACAAAGCCTTTGCGTTTGGAGATCTACCCACAGAAACAATATCGAACAGCAGGGTATGGTGAACCTGAAGCCCAGAAAACCGCTCTGGTTCTCGAGCTGCTAAGTTGCATAAACTGAAGAGCTGGTGTAAACTGAAGACTTGAGACACCGAACCTAACTGAATCAGAGATCTTGAACTGTTTCGGTGCAGAACCAAAGTAGACTCTAGACTTCCCACTGTGTAGCTACTGCACGATTCGTGTCCGGTTTCTCGCACCGGGCTCTCCAAACATTAAAATACGTCTCAGCTGAAAGCCCAAAAGTTTGAACCAGCGCTTCAGATGTTGGAACAAAGCATTCCAGGCTTGGCTTCGGGAGAGCATGAGGACATGAGGAAAGACTGTTCTGTCCTACCCCCGGGCTGAACTCTGGCTCATGTCAACTTGCCCTGAAACAAAACCCCTTAACCTCGGCGCAAACGGTAAACTCTGAACCTTGACTGGCCCAGGCCCAAAACTTCTCGAACACATTTGGAGCGTCCTTCTGTCCCGATTCCGCGGGGTTCTTCTTCACCAGAGTTCCGCTCTCGTCGTCCGGACCCGAGGTGTTGGCGATTTCCAATGGAACAGCCATGATACCAGCTTGCTGAACGGCCTAGTTAGTTGGACCGTGAGCTTTGGCTTCAGAGGGCTACAAGGTGAGCTGTGCACTGTTTTGAACCCGACTGGTTGGGGGAAGTCTGTGGCTTGTGCGCACCACTGGGTTCACTGGAGGGACATCAAATTAAGGGTTCGGCGTTTGAAGTCTTGTGCTCCGGAGGCCCAAGCCAGGGCAGCTTGAGCAGACCATAGCATGACCGAAATGGCTCCGTTGGATTAAACTGAAATCCCTGAATGGTCCAGTGCCGTTTACTCTGCTAAACACCCTCTATATCTATAATATGGCTTCATGACTTGATACCCCCGTGTTCTAGCAGTTCTGGCGCAATACATGCATTGTACTTAGAGAGCAGGTTGCTTTGGGGCCTGGGTTCACAGCCTCCTCGTCTGTATACTTACTTCCTGTTTGTCACGGCAGCGTCTACAAATTCCAAAACAATACAGGCCCTAGCCCTGCAGCAATCTCGACAACAACGGCACCTTTCGTGCCTTACAGTTGCTTCGACCACTCAGTTAGGCATCAAAACCTACATAAACCTGCAGAATAGTACGTTGTTCATAGGAATCATTCCTTAACTCTACAAGTCGACATGATGACACAAACCGAAGCATTTGAACGATCCGAGACCCGGTATGATACGTGATGAATAAGCTAGAGAAATAATCATGTATTCCTTGCACATGCACCGCCAGTGCATAATAGACTCAGGTCGGTCGGGGGGGGGATTGCTCAGAAACCTTGCTAAGCCCTCTCGGAGAAATCCCACTACATGCTAAGCGTGCAGAAGACGCAGCAGGCTTGCGAAAACGGCTCGACTATGCTGGCTGCAAACTTTAGCAGCAGAGGTTACTGTCCCTGTGTCGCCGATGCTTACTACACCGAATCATTACGTGTTGCTAGTATGCTGTTATCTATTCATTGTCGTGTGTTTCTGGTGTTATTGCTGGCAGCAACCTCATGATGACTGGCTTCTTGTTGACTGAAATTACAGTACACCTGCTCGCGACCCCTGCAAAAGCCTCTGCCAGGTCAATTACCACGACTTATGTTTCATCTAGCTGGTGTTGCTATCCTTCAGTTCGTGAAGCCGCCAGAGAGTTTATCGGACCATGTTTAGCAGATGTCTTGGCAACTCCATCGACGAGGTAGCAGACTGCCTTCAAGACTCCTGGCTCATGACCCAACAAACAAGTCGATGAAATTGAAGGCTCTGTCCAAAGCGAAGAGAGTGCGTAGGATCAGTAAATCGGTGCAGGAGTGTCCTGGTGGATTGAAATCCGCCCTGACTCCTGGATGTACGAATTTTGAACGATGCTCGAATTAACCTGTCTGATTTAGAAACCGAGCCGCTGCTGTGCTAGCCGTTCGCGTTCGAGCCTACAAGTAGCTCGATTTGAACTGTTGTCAACCTTCTGTTCGTCTCACCTGTCTGCTACACCACACAAGCAGGAATCATTCAACTCTGCAGTTCTAGAGCAAAGCTGCGGGGCTGATGGCACGAATGTTTAGGTTTGCAAACAAAGTTGAGGTTGGAGAACTCCGTTTTGATCATCAAGACACCACAGCTACGAGTACTACGCGAGATCCGCATACAAGAAAAGGCACTGTCCTGGACTGTTTGAGGAACTCACCAGCTGGTAGTAAGATAAGTCTGCGGCACGCCCTCAAACTGTAATCCGGATCCGTAGACTGCCGCTCCCAAAGCCTTATATACATACACCACAAGCGTCGGCAAGGCTTTTCAGCGAGACTGCTCTCTCTGACCAAGCATCGGAGAGACCTACGGTTGCCTGCAAGACAAGACTAAACCCGCAAACGCTGCAGTTCTGGCTATGCTCCAGAGTTTGGACTTGGGCCTTGGGAACAATGATTTCGAAGGTGTGCTTCCACCGCGGAACAAATAAACAACCTCGGCTTGCTGTGTTGTGGAACGATTTTCGCTCTAGGTCCAAGACGCGATCAAGCTCCCCAGTTGCACAGTTCGACTTCATGTGATGAGCTCCCGGACCAGACTCTAAGGCACACATCACATAAGTACGAAGGCGACGAAACATCCAGACAATCAGATTTGAGACCTTCCAAAGTTTCATTCCAAACTCGCACACGGCATGGATCATCATGTATCCTAAATACGAGGTCCTGCGTGTGAACTTCCACGACAAGCTACAGCCCTCGCGAAAAGCTTGTCAGACGACAATCTCCAAGTTCTCCGCCTGTGGCCAGTGAAAACACGCAGAGCTGTTGGGGCTGACTTCAGTTGGTACGCCTGAGAGTCTCAGGCATCGGCCCTGGGCCCATGGAGTCTTGGGTCTTGTCTGGTTCTGGGAAAAGCACTTTGTTGACCATGGCTGGGAAATGGCAAAATGGCATCCTGCACCTGGCATTGTTCGTTGCTCCCTCCTTCACAGCTAAGTCACAGCCCCTCTCAGAGGCTCCAGTATCAATACCGCTTTAATAATAAAAGCAGGCCTAGGCGTGAATATGCCTTGGCAAACGAGTCTTGGAACCTGTGGCTTTGCTACATCATTTCAATGACATGGTTTGCAACTGGGAATCTACGGCAAGGAATTTGGAGCCCTATCGTCCCAGAACTCATCTTCGGCGAATCAACAGCAATGTCCCCTCAAATCCTGTTGTTGCTGCGCTTGCGTCATGTCTGTTCCAACGCATTTGCTTGCTGTACTGTACACGAGAATCATTACAGCATCAACACTTCACTTGCTTGCTAACACGCTCCGGCTCAGAGTGGAGCTTCCCCGTGAGCCTCCCAGGCCAAGAGCGGATCACACTGACGTCCACGGCAAGGTTCAGGCACCACCGTTGGGCAGCCTGCAGCTGACGGAACTGCAGCTCGGTGGCATGTGAAGCATTACTTTTCGTTCCCATGACGCCCAATTCTGCGAGGCTCATCATCGCTGGTTTCCACTAACATAGTCGCAGTCATAGCACCTTTGGGCAGCCTAGAGCCCAAGAACATCCAATCCCAATACTGCTTACGTCTTTCGAACCAGCTCAGAATCATGCCAGTCTGCAAGCGCAATTCGCAATTTTAAACATGGTACAGGCAAACTTGCTGGACCATCAGCTCTGATCATTCATCAGGCCTCCAAGGCTCCCAACCGATTCCCTCCAACGCTGCCTCCTTCGACAGGCGGACGCTCGAGGGCGTGCACCCAAGCATCGACCACCATTTTCGGTGGAATCCTCAGATTTGGGTTGACGTTAACTGGGGCACACACAAGCTCCGTGTTCAGTGCTTGTGGACTCCTTGCTGACAGATCCTTGGGCAAGGACAAGCAGGAGCCTAGAATGCAGCGATGAGCCGGGACATACAACCGCCGCTGCAGCTGGAAACCACGCATTCACTGATGAAAAGCCAACAGCCACATTTCAACATCAGCTTCAAGTTCATCATCATCAGCTGCAGCATGACCATACCCTCACCCCAGTCATGATCATCTGGCACATTCATCTACACTCAACCATAGACCAACATCGCTATGATCACCATCATGATCAACCGCGGCGAAATATTGACCAACACCCCCAGGATCATCAAATCCTGGAAGAGAGCCTAGCCGGTGGGTAGATATGAGGTTGACCGAATTGTGGACGCAGCGACAGGAGTTGGAAGCATGAAGCCGTGAACAGCATCTGGCGACGAAGCATGACATGCGCTCACCCTGATCACTCCTTTTGGGAAGATTCGAAATTCGGATTTCCTGCTCTGCTGGGGTTGGAAATCGAAAGACGCTGAGACAAACACGCCCTGCACAGGCTGCACCAGATAGCATCAAGGGCCAAGGGTCTTCGTGATGTTTTTCGCAGCATTGCCATCCAACAGGTCTCGATAGCAGCTCAAGTAGCAGTCCTTCCGGGCCCAAACGGCACAAAGGGCTCGCTTGCTTTCGAACTCTCGGGCTCATAAGACCAGGGGCGGCATGCAGACCTTCGATTTGGAAGCCTATTTCAGGTCTCCAAATGCCCGGCGTCGGTCTCTGTCGGCGCCGCTTCATCAACAAGGCAAAGGCCAAGGGATGCACTTGAGTTTGGAGGACTTTCAGGTAAGGGGCAGCGATCGATACGTAACCTCGAGTCCAGTTCCGTGGGACTGGGGGAAGGCATATCCAGCCGATCTCAGTTCGGACATGTCGCCAAAGACTAAACTCCAATCGACAAACCCGAAACTCCCCCTAAACAGCTGAGACTTTCAAGAGCCTCAGAAACTGCACGTTGATCCCTTCGCAGTCCGAGGTGTGGTTAAGCGGCTGCGCACAGCGGCCAAAACAGGTCGCACCAAACCTGCCGGATCTTCGGTCTTAGGTGTCAGTGTCAGGTCCGTTAGGTGTTCTGGGTCGCCGGATTAGGGTGCAAGACTTGATAAGGGGTTTCTGGGTGCAGGGGTTTGGAGCTTTAGGATCTGGGACTTTGTGGCGTTCAGGAGCCGGGACTATCGGATTGGCTTGTTTCAGCACCAAAGAGTCAGAAGGTAGGCTTGAAACGGCAATTTGAATGTTGCACTCCACTTTTCGGTTTGTGTTCAACGAGCTTTCCCAGTGAATGGGTTCGGAGGAGGCGTAGAGGCAGGAGCTTGCGGGCTGGCATGGCTTGGGGCTTAGGGGTTAAAGTTGCCATGGTAAGGAAAGCATGTTATTATCTACCATAACAACTCTTGATGGTACTACTCGAAATCAAGGGATCGAGTTCGAGGTTTCGGGTGCAAGGTCAGGCATCCGTGAATCTCTGAAGGCAGGCTTTTGGATGCCCTTGATGTTGTGGGCAACTACTTGCATAGATCGAATATAAGAATAACCAACAGGAATAAGAAAATGAGGCCACGCTCCAGTCGGCCAGCAGGCGTCTTGGTTAACAATGGGCTGGGCCATGTTCTCAACCTCCTACGAGGAGTAGCTCCTTATGTTCCCATGCCAACTACCTCCGAAGCGTCCAAACGCTACAACAACCCCCACCAAGGCACCACAGAACCATATAGCTATAACCCCTGAACTGTAATGGCTCTAGGCCCGAAACCATGCAAAGCCCACAATGTGTTATGCTGAACGAGACTCTGCTCTACAACTTCATCGACTTTCTGACCGACGCAGCTGGCATTCTTGTAGGCCGACAAGACCTGCGAGACTTAACAAAACCCTGAACCGTAAATTCAGCAACTCTCTGAAAGTTAATCCACAGCCCCGCGCACAAACGTGCCAAAGAACTCTCATCCCTACGCCTTATCATTGTCCAAGCCGTATAATCTGTCGAATCGTCCGAAGATTGAAACGTCAAGAAGTCTCGGTGACGAATCGGAGGAGCTGACGGGGACGAATTTAGGACTCAAATTGTCCAGTGTGTGGGGTCTGGCTGCAAGCTTTGTTCTCCGTAGCAGTGTGCAGGAATCAGGGTCGTTGCTGGGCCCTGCGAGGTGAACCGTCGGTTGAACGAAAACGTACGTAGCAACGACTCACGTAAACCGCTGACTCAGAATCCACCCCGAATGAATGAGGATTAAGGCAGGAAATGCAAGCAGCTCTGATTTACTCAAACAGACTGCCCAAAGTATAGTTTGGGTCTACCAGCCGCCCTCACGAACACATAGAACGTGAAAGGCTCCTTACGCACTATGTACTGTCCTGCTGAAAGATGCGATTTCAGGCGTCATGTTCGCATTCATAGTTTGAGCTTTTTGTGCACTTAGCCGATTGAAACATCAGACAGCTGCGTTCGACTGCAAGAATGCTTGCGTCTTCGCGACACCAAGAATAGCCACGTCGGAATGTCGTCTCCCGGTTTGGGGTAAAAATCATGGAACGACGCATTAAACGACGGAGCTGTCCTTCCCTTCTCCAGGCAAGATTCCTTTCGAGACCCCATGCTCTAAAGTCGGGGTTTAGGGTGTGAGGTCTCATGTACTGTAGGAAGTCAAGCCTCGGCATGACATGAAGCTGCGCAGTTTTTTTGACCACATCCCCAAACATAAAGCCTTACAGCAAAGTTCAGGAACCAAGGTTGTGCTTTTTACAGCCCAGCAACTCGATGTTGCCGCTTCGAATGTCTAGCCTCCCACCCCCTTCTGCAGCACCTCTCGCCAGGTGCAGCCTTCCTCGCCCAAGAGGGCACCAGCTCTACCTTGCGAAGATTGAATGCTTGGCATCCCTGCGCCCAAACACCCCGAAGCCGCAGACTAGATGACTACTCACCACTACTGATATTTTCCTGCTCCTAATGTCTGTCGGTGTCCACACTTTACTACTACGGTTTCACTACACTGCGCTGCTTCTGCTGCTACTGCTACTACTGCTACTACTGCTACTACCCCTGCAACCGCTACGACTACTACTGTACCACCACTACCACTACTACTAACTGCTACTACTACTACTACTACTACTACTACTACTGCTGCTGCTGCTACTACTACTACTACTACTACTCCTGCTACTGCTACTACTGCTACTGCTACTGCTACTGCTGCTGCTACTGCTACTGCTACTGGTACTGCTACTACTGCTACTACTCCTGCTACAATTGCCACTGCTACTGCTACTACTACTACTACTACCACCACGACTACTGCTACTACTTCGGCTCCTTCTACTGCTAATACTACAATAACTACCACTACTGTATAACTACCACTACTGCTACTACTACTACTACTACTACCGCTACTACTACTACTACTACTACTACTACTACTACTACTACTACTACTACTACTACTACTACTACTACTACTACTACTACCACGACAACGAGCGCGACCACGACTACGACTACCCCTACTACTGCTTCTACCACTGCTACTGCTGCTACGACTGCTGCGACTATTACGAGTACCACTCTACCACTCCTACTACTACTACTACTACTACTGCTACTACTACTACTGCTACTACTACCACTACTTCCACTACTACTACTACTACCACCACTACTTCTACTGCTCCTACTACTTCTACTACTCCTACTAGTACTACTACTACGACGACTACCTACTACTACTACCACCACCACTACTACTACTACTAGTACTACTACTACTACTACTACTACTACTACAACTACTACTACTACTACTACTACTGCTACTGCTACTTCTACTTCTACTACTACTGCTACTTCTACTTCTACTACTACTTCTACTCCTACTACTACTACTCCTACTCCTACTCCTACTCCTACTCCTACTCCTACTACTACTACTACTACTACTACTACTACTACTACGACTTCGACGACTACTACTACTGCTGCTACTACTACTACTACTTCCACTACTTCTACTACTTCTACTACTACTACGACTACCCCACGCCCTACTTAATACTTCTGTCTCGGTCGCTGCTTGGAGCACGGTCCGCAGCACCCCAATCCTGACATGAACCGTCAATCTTCGTTCACATCAAGATGCACTCTCCTTCCGTGGGTGTGGAATACCAAAGCCCGCCAAGATCGCCAATGCCAAACCAGGAGGCTCTCCTCAAAGCACCGGGAGCTCGGCTAGGGGTCAGGATCGACATGGGGATTTCGGAGTTTAGGGTTGCAAAATCAGTGCATCTTGTTCGTGCCTGTTTATGTGTTCTATCAAGGAGGGAACCAGAAAAAGCACCGTGTCCCAGATCCCGTGGTGCAGGCAGGTTCCCTAAAGCTAAACCCTCACATGCCAACGCCGCTAAATTAAGTATGAACTCTGAAGCCGGGCTCCCTGAACTCTCAACTTGCTTTGCTTGTCTCCGCTGATTGACCCTGTCTGCGCTCTGCTCTGCAAGGACACCCTAAACAAAGCTTCCCAGGAAGTCTGTGGGTCACGGGCCTGCGGCCGGCGGCTGTCGGTATTTATGGCGTGATGGTTTGAGGGGGGTTGAAGTTGGGAGCTCACGTTACGCACGTTACGGGGTCTGGGTTTAAGTGTTGGGGTGCTTGACGGGCTTATGAGAAAAAAAGGTCCTGAGGAACTTACGAACCGTGATCGCGTGTCTTGGGTTTTATAAAGTATGGACCACTCGAAGAATGACCAAGACCGTTTTCTGAAAGGCAAGACCCAAAGCCAACGCAAAAGACATCGCCAGGCATTCTGGGGTTTAACGTCTTTCAGGGCCGGGGGTCAGAGGCCACTGCTGGAACCACACCACAGACCACGAAAGGATGCCTGAGGGTGTGAAGTGGGGCAAACAATAAGACTCTCCAAACTGATTACATTCTGGAGGCCTTCTAAACACTGAACTGCAATCACCGCCATTGGGAGAGAACTTCCCGATGAAGCCCGCCAACCTCTGGTCCTGCCTGCACCTTCAGCTCCGTAGAAGCGTAAAGTACACACAATGTAAACGCGGGGTATAAGCTTGCACGCCATTGGCTTTAAACAACACCAATGGCCTGGACTCTAAACGCCTGAACCTTAAACCACGTCGGCGCGATCCTGGTGAAGTCTGTTGTGGCAGCACTGGCGGAGCAGTTGGCATCTTCCTATCCAAGGATGAGCTTCGCCGGCATAGCACTTGCAAGCTTCAGGGCGCCAGAGCTGATCAGAGTTCAAGCTTCAGTTACAAATCGTAGGCTTCGGGCAATTTATTAAAACTTGATGTTTACACGAATCCAGCTGGCGTAAGGGTTGCAGCAATACAACATGCGAGCAAGTTGTGTCGTAGAGCCTTGGATGCGAAGGGCTCCAGCAAGCGAAGAAGACCCTCAGCCCTGAGAGCCGTGGTCCACTACGATAGGTAGTCGGTCGTATTCTCCTGAGTGCTTGGCATTCACACCGCACGTTTAATAACATTTCCTTTGCAGCCTTCACACCTTGGATTTAGCGAATAAAAGCACCTCAGGCCTCAGGCAATCGCTCTAGCATGGTGCCTGTGTGAGGTTACCGGTGAGCAAGAGCACACTGGTGTTGTCCGCTGCCAGTGACCAGCCTGGCTTGGGAAGATTCTGAATCATGAACCTTAAGCCGTAAGCCTCACCCCACCGCGATAGGGCCCTGACTAGCGCCGAAACCTAAAGGCCTGAAACCATCGACACAGCGCACGACCTAGTGATTTCGGGATTCGGCTTTGGGCCTGCGTCCTGACACGCTGAAAGCGTGTTTCAACTTAAGGGTTGCCGCCATGGGAACGAAACAGACATCTCACGAAGACAGCAATGCTGATGACCCCAAGTTCGGCGTTTGCTGAGGTGGTACTGGATTCGCTTCAAGCCTCGCGATGCAAAAGTCTAAATCTAGTGGTCACGTAAGACTTCGTTTCATGCTTGGGTTGCTTCAGTCTCAGCCCTAAACCTGCAACGGCTAGATTACGCCTGAAGAGATCAAAAGTACGGCTCAAGATGGCCCAAGGCCAAATGCGCAAGTGTCAACAGCTATTGATACAACCGCCATGTAAGGATGCAAGAAGTAGTACTGGTAGTGGTAGCAGCAGTGATACCGACACGACCGACATTAGTAGCAGCACGGTCCCTCCGCCCTCCATTGCCTGAGCAAGCTTCGTCCTTGCGACACTCCTGTCGCTTGATAGCTGCAAGCAGAAATTGTTTAGTGTACGGCTTTGACCCGGGGTACTGCAAAGCTCTTCAGCCAGCCGCAGCCTCATGCACTAAGCCTGTAAAACCTGAAAGCCCAATTGCTGTCTTCGAAACGGCCGTTTCAGCCACCAAAACCAGTACACAGTGCCTCAGTAGCCTGCCCAACGCCCATATATTATGCGCCTTATAAACGGTAAGTCACAAACCAAAGCTCCTCACATGCCATTGTCATCATGGCGGCTGTGCTCCTTGCTAGTTCTCACAAGTCTCACGTTTCTTTTCACTTTGCCTCCTTGAGGCGAAGAGATGAATTCAGGATTTAGAGTTCAAGTTTCTTGTGCCAACAGGTTTGTGATCTCGCTGCATGCAAGAAACGACTTCTTTTTGTATCGATCTGCAGGTCGAACAATGGTTTTCTTCGCATGTTCTTCAAAGATGGCACGACTCCTGCTATGTGATTGTTTGCGAACATTCGAAAATCCTTTTTGCTGCTGCCGTTGTGATGACAGCAGTGGTTCGCATCCCGTTATCAGCAGGTGCAGTGCAACTACCGTCGCTAATGCAAAGTCTGACAACTTTTCATCCCCCACTGAAGGCACATTTACGCTAAATTGTCTTCTTCTGTGCTACTCGACAACTAAATGTTGATTCAATTTGTTGACTGTTTACGACACATGCGGACTCTATCCTCTACTGGACTAGCACCTGATTCGCAAGCAAGGCAGGTAGGGGTGTTTCTTGCACTGAGCACGATCTGTACAACTATTTTTTGGTCAGCCTTATCGGAGCACTGGGTCCTGAACAGACAATAACAGCAGTATCACCTTCGTTCTTATGGCACCCACTCATCTTGTAGATTATAACAAGTGGTCAGGACAGTTGAAGTGTTGAGCATGGCGCTAGAGGCTTGGGTGTTACGCTTGGTCCAACGCACGCTTGCAGTACTTGAGGGCCTGATGTAAAAGCTGACAGGGCTCACAACAAGCTGTTATTTCAATTCTACGATCCGTCCGCTTCGGCCCCGAACCATCTATGAAAACTCCAGAAAGTGGAGGCTGAACACGCATACTTGCATAAACACAAGTTTTCAGATGATCCGGCAAGAGTTCGACGCTCCGAGCCCCTAATCCAAGCTGGGAAAAGTGTGACCCGAACCTCCACAGGCCCAACCCCGAAGCTGGGCGGCTTGGGATGGATTTGGGCACTTCAAGACAGCCCACTTGTCAGGAACTTCACTCTAGCTACAGCTTGAGGCCCCTGAAAAAATCGTCGCGTTTTGTGCAGCACTTATGAAGCCGCTTCCAACAGCTGTACCACGATCCTGTGGCCCTTACTGCATGCCGCCATCAGCGGAGTTCCTGCATGCCCTCACGAAGGATGAAGTGGTGCGGCAGCTTCATTCATCAGCACGGGCCCCCAACAACATGCACACAACTTCAGCGTGTCTAGTTTCTGCCGTGCGATGCAGCGGCATCGCTTTGTGGTGCACAAGGCGGCTTGTGGGGTTGATTCAATCCGGTGTCCCTGTCGCTATACACGACTGCGTCACAGACCCTGGACACCTAGCCGGACCTAGCCTGGATCAGCCCGTGCCAGAGACCACAACTGCACAAAGCCCAGGGCCCCCGACCAGGCTGTCAGCGAGCGCAGTAGGCGACCAGTGAAACATCGTCCCTGCTTCAGGATTTCATAACGTCAACGGAGGTTCGGAGTTTACAGAATAGGTTTAAGCTTAGTAAGTCAAGGCTCCAGTATGTTGATGTATGTTGGTCGGCAGGACTTCTGCGGATTTATGGTGCCGCGTCGCCGCGTCGCAGGCCCCCCCCCCCCCATGGTATGCCCCCCCCCCCCCCCCCCCGACCCCCACGCCAGGCCTCTCGTCCCAGCAAACAATATCCGCGTAACTCCCCCGCCCCTCGCCTTGGCAACGGGTGATAGGGAACCACAGGGGCAGGATGGGGAAGGATGACCCACACAGGGAACCGCAGGGCCCCTCCCCTCCCTTTGACACACAAATGAGAATGATGGGGATGATGTTGTGCACAATGATGTTGATATGCTATTCGCAGTTTGCCTGTTGGTGGTACCTTTGCTCTGATGTTGCTCTGGGCGTCGGCACCGCATGTTCATTGCTTTATTTCGTTGAAAATCGTGCTTGGCTTGTGATGTTCTTGCGGAAACTGTAGCGAACGTTGTCATTGGAAGCCAAGTTTTGGTTGGGTTCGTTAAAAGTAAGCTTGAGCGTGTTTGAATGATTTTCATTCGGGACTCTCGAGCAAGGGACCGCAGGAGAGTGCGGATGGGGATTATGACCACCATCTTCGTCATCATCATCACCATTGGCTTTGGTGGAGCTCAGCGCAGGTCAGAGTTTAGTGAAACGTATCACATCCTCAGGTCCAAACCCTTAGCAACCGGACGCCCAACCAGCAATAGCCATGGAAGGGGGTGCAGCTGACCGCAAGCACAGGGGAGGGGCAGGGGGGAAACCACACCACAGGGACCACAGGGGGGGGGGCCACGGGGTGGGGGGGGGGAGGGGGCGCCCAGCAGCGCTGCACCATATATCTGAGAAACCCTTTTCTTGCTCCATGCTTAACGGACAGAGTCTGTCTGGTTGACCCGAGACCCCCCGACCAAGTACCGGGCTAACAAATGCCACAAGCTTTCGATACGTCGGAAACTCTACCTCGGCGCGACCAGCAAAGAAAGAAAAACCTGAGACCAGCGGATCAAATGTCCTGATTTTCGTTGAGATGTTTTGTGCTGCCCACCAACCAGTTGTGGATCTACCGGTATGCTGCCCAAATTTGGCAATTCTCTAGATGGGACCATAAGCCCTATCATAAATACATGATTTTTGCCTCAATCCAAAGCAATCACTTATGTTTTGAATGCTTTGACGCGAGGCCTTCGGGCTTATCAAGCTCGGAGCAGTCCAGTGCAGGCTGGAAAAAATCTCTAGGATCTGTGTTAATTAGCTGAACTCGGAAACCCGAAACCGGAAAACTCCGAAACGAAGAGCCATAAACTCCAATAGCTCCAACCCCTAAACCACGATGCTTGTTTCGCAAGAGTTTGAGTTTGGGCAACCCAGCTCCAGGCTCTGAAGCTTCAGGCAACCGTTCGCATATCTTTTGTAGTTGTTGGGAATCGAAATCAATAGCTTCAACCGCATCGTTGTTCGCTGTGTCACAAGCACCCCAGAACCCAAAGCCCGAATGCCCCGCAATCGCTGCTCTGCAGACCAGCCTTCTCTGGGGGATCGTAACCTGTTAATGTCGGACTCTGTGCTTGCAGATCTTGCTCTATGTAGTGAGTCTTCGGGCCAACAGAAGCGGTTGAATTAGGGTTATTGCGGGCTGACGAACTGTTTCGAATTCAAACGACCGACATCGGGGATACGTTGAACCTATGGACAGGTGCTTCGAAGCTGTGTCAGGTCGCGAAACCATATAAAGCCTTGTCGTTTTTGTGCGAATGGCAACCGAGGAGGGATTGAAACCTACAGAAGTACCCAAGAAAGATTACGAAAGGCAGCTAACACAGGAACATATACTTCGCTTTCCAGCCACGTTTGACAGAAAGAGGCGTCGTTTATGATTGTTGAAGCAAACGCAGCCGGCAAGACATACGACTTCCATGAAGGGAACACTGGCGCCGTTCTGAGAGCGGCAACAAGAAGGCCCAAACTTCTCAAGTCTAATTACTCAAGTTTTTAGACTTGTATACTTTACATACCCTGACACCCCGAAACATCAACGCACTGAATTCACTACATCACCAAGCGCCATAAACGTACTAAAATGGTACCCCCCTCCCTCCCCAAACCCTTAGTGAGCCGTGATCCTGCACCCAGGGCGTCAGGATTGAATTCCCAAACCCTCATCCTCAAACACCTCAATGCTCCTATCCGCCGCAAAGTGCCCCTTGCGATGGGTTCCCGCTAAGGAAAGTTAAATTCTGTTGCCAGAAGGGATCTATTGCAAAACATTCTTCTCATAACGGTCGTCTATCCGAACTATAAGTTCCGTAGCGCCATGTAGAAGACTCTGGGACCTTGGAAATTTCATAGGGTCGAAGTACAAGCCGAAAGGACTTTAGCCAAAGGGGCCTCGGCATTGCGGCACCCAGCCAGGCGGACCCTTCCCAAGGAAAGGAGGTGCGGCCTAGGCCCCGGCGTGGAGTTTGGGGTGATGCGGCGCTTCAATCTTACATAATCTTCGTAGAATTTAAACTTTGGCCTTGGGGACTGAGGTTCGGGGTCTGGGTCGTAGCATGGGGGCAGGTCAGACAACGTATTGTGGGGTCTTGCATCGAAGGCTTTTGGACTCGTAAGTTGCGAACCGGTCTTGCAAAATCAAACGCAAACTCAAAATGACCCTAACATGCTAAAAATCAAGCCTGCCTCTCTGAGCCCCCTGCGCGGCCCACCGTGAGGTTGTCCCGGCGGCTGCCGTCGCAGGAACCTGAAACGGATTTGGAAACAATGACGAAAGCCCCTTACTGTAATCGATGCTGAATCGCCGCCACGTTGGACCTCATGTGACCAGGGTTTAGGGTTCACGGTGGAGCCCAGCCGCAAGCAGCCAACCTAACTCCTCATGATCGCGATACCTGAAGCCCTCGAAACCTGCGGCGACAAAACAAATATACAATCCACGGCCACAGTTTGAGACGAGTCACAGTGATAGTCACCCCACATGGACGTCGCATTCACCGCCTTGAGGAGTCGCGAACGAGCGCATGCATCGCGTGCAAACACGGCTTTTGGATCGGCGATCGAGGAGCTTAGGGCGTACCCTTCGAGTCCTTTAAAGCAGCTTTTAGACCTCAAGTCAGACGCCTGGCAGCTTTCTGGTTCCAAGATCTAGCTGCACTTTGTTTGGCTTGGTGGCTTTGGGATTCAGACATTCTTGGTGCTGGCAATGGGGTTCACAAATGTACTGGTGCTCAGCAATCCGGCCCCCATCGTGGCTTCAGGACTTGGCATTCTTGCTTGCTTCCTTTCTGGACCTAACTTGCTGCTAAAGGCGGGCATGGCATTCTACGGTCTCGCGCTGGAGATTCGAGATCTTGACATGGGATGGAGGCTTCAGGGCTTGACAGGTTCTTCGAGCTTTCGAACTTGTTGGCTTCCTGGCTCGATTTACTGATGTTACAATGGTTTCGCTGACAGCACTGCAAACCAGCAAACCCAGAAGCCTACCAGATCCTGAACACACGAAGCCCGGGTCAGCACTGATAGCTCTGAACGCTTCAACCTCAAACCCTTAAACAAAGCAAGAATCTGGTGGAAGGCCGTGATTCCAGCAGCCTTCCGTCGTGGCCTCGCCAACTTAGAGTCTCAGGGCTTGAAGTTTGGGGTCGAGGGTTAGTTAGAGGGTGCTTCGCGCACTTTTTGTTCGAGCTCTCTTCTGTTTGCTGGTTAGGCATTCACGACTGGTTGGTTTGAGGGTCAGGGCTTTGAGATTTCAACCGGTTTAAAGCTTCGCTTTCGGACTCCTGCTCCTGCCAATTCCGAGGTTTCTCAAGCTTGTAATGTCAATCGCAGTAAGAGAGAAAGAGGCTAGCCATGGTCCGAAAAGGTTTTGGCCCCAAACCTCCCGACCCTAATTAATTCGTTGCTTAGTGTCGTGTGCTCCGTGGCTTCATGGTGTGGCCAAGCCCGTGCCGCTGGACCCCGGGCAGGCCGTGCTTTGTGCGTCCCTTCATCCAGGCTTTCAGTCAACTTGCGGCCATCCCGTGCCCAGCGTCCTACGTCTACACCTGTTTACAGTGTCGCATGCTATAACGTGAGAGCGAGCACACTGGCTAATGATCGTAAATAATAAGGTTCGGGATGCATAGCCCACTTAGACAACGACTCAGCTTGCAACAACATCGCCCGGCTGCAATCACGAGCTTTAGAGTCCAGCTACACCCCACATGGTTAGGAAGTTTGAAGTCCAGTTGCAGTCGGTGTTTCAGCCGAAAAGCCCACTCCCCAGGTTTCAAAGACTCCAAGACCAAAAGCCA